AACAATGATATATGTGGATCGGGTTGCACACCACAACAATGATATATGTGGATCAGGTTGCACACCGCAACAATAATATATGTGGATCGGGTTGCACGCCGCAACAATGATATATGTGGATCGGGTTGCATGCCGCAACAGTAATAAATGANTCAGGTTGCACGCCGCAACAATGATATATGTGGATCGGGTTGCACACCACAACAATGATATATGTGGATCAGGTTGCACACCGCAACAATAATATATGTGGATCGGGTTGCACGCCGCAACAATGATATATGTGGATCGGGTTGCATGCCGCAACAGTAATAAATGAGATATATGGATCGGGTTGCACGCCGCAACAATGATAAATGATATATGTGGATCGGGTTGCACGCCGCAACAGTGATAAATGATATGGATCGGGTTTCACGCCGCAACAGTGTTGTTATACATTGGGATCAGTTTGCGCGCAACAACAATTGTTGATACAAAGTGTTTATAGATTGGATACAAGTTTCTTATTGTTTTCCCGTGAATTCTAAGCTGTCCTTATGCCGTTACTCTTGATTTATTGTTGATATTGATACAGTCCCGCAGCATGTACCCCCCTGCCATCTTTACTTGTTTATTCCTATTGTATTTTCCGCTGTATATTATATAACTGCACATGTTTATTTGGTAGTCTGGTCCTAGCCTCGTCACTACTTCGCTGAGGTTAGGTTAGGCACTTACCAACACATGGGGTCGATTGTGCTGACACTACACTCTGCACTATGTGCAGATCCCGGAGCAACTCTTGGACCATAGCATTTGGGTGGCTACCTTCAGTCCACGCGGAGATCCAAGGTAGACCTGCAGACATCCGTAGGCTCTGGCGTCTCCTCTATCCTTTATTTCCTGTTCCATCCCTTTGATTCGGAAACAGTGTATCTTTATTTTCAGACTTTGTATTTAGCACTCTTAGATCATATATGGTACTGTGACACCAGTTCTGGGTGATTATGACTTAAAGAGTAGATTCATATTTCAGATATTTTACTACATTTTTTTCGCTTAATGAAATTTCCGCTATTTTTCACATTATTGCTTTATAAATGGTAAAAGGGTATAAAAATGGATAAAGGTAATCGGTTCAATAATTGGTTTGCCTAGCTCATATTAGTAAGCGCCATCACGAATCCTGAAGGTGCGAAATCTGGGTCGTGACAGGACAAGTCCTCAATGACTCGGTAAGATTTAATGTATTTGATTTGTAGATATTTTGTAGATAATTTGTATTTTGATTGTAGATGCTTTATTTTCTGTTTGTAAAGTAATTGTAGTTATTTTGTATTTTTGTGTAGATTATTTGAAGATAACTTGTGGTATAAATTCAATCTGTTTTTGTTGTAACACATTAATGTTATAATGTATTACTTGAGGAAAAGAGTCAAGTATGGCCCCCACAACAAGACCAAGTTTACTACAACAGATTGTTTGTTCAAGACTAGGATTGATCAAATTTATGAAAAGTTCCAAAATTCTCCTCAAGAAAAGAAGTTTTCTATTGTCAAAGCCTAGGACGTTGTAGTAGAATATATATTGGGGTATAGACTACTCGCAAATGTTGTATGGTATGAAGTTGATTATGTCATCATGCCCGTCAACATTGTAGAAAAATTCCACTGGGTGTTGATTGTTTTTGACATTGCAGACAGGCAACTTTATGCGTATGATTCCATGGTCTCTTCACGCAATCACCCTATTATTGAATCTTGTGTCGACAAGTTTTCTGTTATTATCCCTTTGTATTTGTCATGCACCGGTTTTTAGGGGAACCGTAAAGACATCAACTTCAAGAATATAAAGGCATACATTGAGAAAGCTATTACCGACCCTCTTAACATTCAGTGAATCATCGAAGATATACCACAACAAAAGAAGGATCAATGTAACAAAAATCTTCTTTCTTTATATACATTAAACCCTTTTTTTTCTAATCGTTTTGTAAATATTGACATTTTTTTTATCTTTGCAGCGACTGTGGTGTATTTGTTGCTGCCTTTGCAGAGTATGTTAGTCTTGGAGAGTTATCAATTTTGGCAGAAGACCTTTCTGATATTGACCAACATCGTAGACGTTATGGAGTGCTACTTTGGGACTATGCTAGAAAGAAGCAGGAGCATGGGGCAATTAGTGAAAGTGAGGTGACAGGAAAATTGGCAAGGAGAAAAGGTGCACCAACTTTGAATGAGAAAACACGAGTCTAGAGGAAGAAGAAGTAGTTGTAATGTTTTGTATAGAACATGTAGTACAATTGTTTAGTTGATGCTAGTTTAGAAGAAAGACGGTAGACAAGTTTTTGAACAATATTGTTGTGTTTTAATTGTAGCAGACTTGCGCTACAATTATAGTAGCCTTTGTTTTTCTTTTCTTATCCAGTATAGTAGTTCAAATGGAAACATTCTGTTGGTTTTATATTCACTTGTTGAATGTTTACATTACTTGATCTGAATTATTTTAGCATATAAATCTTTTCCAACTGAATTTTTATACAGTTATTCTGTCAACGCAAAAATATGTAGTTATTTTGTTGTTTTTCTATAGATAAAGTGTAAAAATCAGTACCTAAACATTTTGTTGCTTTTACATTCAATTTGTTGAATGTAAATAATGCTTGATCTACATTATTTTTAGCATATAACTTCTTTTAGCTGAATTATAATCTAGTTATTATGTCAACTCCAGCTATTGTAGTTTTTTGTAGTTGAATTTGTAGATAATTTATAGAAAATATTTAACAATGTGTTTTGTTGCTTTTATATTCATTTGTTGAAAGTAAACAGTACTTGATCTTCAATATTTTAGTATATAACTCCTTTCTTACTGATTTATAATGTAGTTACTCTGTAAATTCCAGTTAATGTAATTTGTTTTGTAGTTTTATTGTAGATAAATTGCAAATAAATATTAACTACTATGTAAATGATGCTAGAGATAGTAAAAAAGTGGTAGATTATATATATAGAAACCATTCATAAACATATCACTCTATGAAAGTATTATCTCAATATAGAAAAATCATATCTAACTACATTATGATCTTAAAAAACATCAACAATTACACATCAAATTCTATTATCCTGAACTCACCAACAATTTTTATGAAATATTCTGTTAACTACAAAAAAATTTATTTCTTTTTGGGTGCATTCTTGCAAGATCTTTTGTTATGCCCTTCTCCTCCGCAGTTGCCACATGAAGCCTTGTATTCTTTGAATTTATTTTATCATATTTTTTGTATTTTTCTTTTTGAGGTCTTCCTGGCTGCCTTTTCCCTCCTGTTGGTGGATTTACTACTTCTTCAGATATATGTTGTGGCACATTCCATTTTCTTTCATCAGGCAGGGGATTTACTGTATTTCATAAGTACGCAAGAGGTTCTCCTTGTGTAATAAGGAGAACAATATTGTTCAAAAGACTCATCCCTGTGTCTTAAAGCAGCCAAAGCATATGGACAAGGAAGTTCATCAAGCTGGAATTGCCCACAAATACATCTCTTGTTTTCAAGACAAACAATACAACGCCTCACATCATCTAGTACTATATGGATGTAGTCTGTTGAAGTCCTCACCTACAATTACATTACAAACAAAAAACAATTCATATACGGTCAAATACAAAATATCTACAAATTATCTACATTGTCCTGTATAAATTAATTTAATGCAATAAATGATCAGATCTTACTCTAAGCTTGTGCGACAATGTTCTATTATCATCCAACTCTTTGTTGAATTTAATCCCAAGGTATGTGAATGTACCCTTTGCTTTCAATAACCTTTCCTTCGTCCAACGTTCAAGAAGAGTCCTCACATACTCTAATAGTTCTACTATCGGCATCTCTCTTACATATTTTGTACAGCATTCAACGACTCTGCAATGTTTGATGTCATAATCCAAGTTCTGTTCACCTTAGCATGTACTCGAGACCATCTATGATAGCCAATATCGTATAAGTATGCTTTAACACGCGGGTCAATCTCTTCAATCTTTGACATCCTTTCATTAAATTCATCAAGCGTGAATGACTGTGCCGTGGCAAAGTACAATTCGCTTAATTTTAGATGTCCCTTCTTGAACTTTGCCCTTATATTTGTCCAAATATGCCACATGCAAGAATAATGTGGCATGCCGGGATAAACAATAGATGTTGCCTTCAAGATACTCTCATTCCGATCCGAAACAACACACATATTTGGTCTTTCACCATATGCGTGTTTGAATGGCTCATAAAACCACTTCCATGATGCGTCATTTTCTGAATCAACAACAACATATACCAATAGTAATATGGTACCTACATTATGAGGCAAAAAGCAAGTAATTGGCTGCAGGAAATATGCAGAAGAAGACATGTACATATAAACTATAACTTTCTACAATATATTTACAAAAAATCTACAAGTACTACAAAAAACAGACAAGCTACAATATTTCTACAATAAAACTTCAATACCTGCTGCATCCATTGTACTAGATGTTAGCGTTATTCCCCTGTATGCTGACTTTAAGAAGGTCCCATAAACTACTACAACTAGCCTACAATATTTCCAACAACTGATTGACGTACAAATCGCAACAAATACATACAAGAAGCAGTCATCGTCCGTCTTCTTTAATTTAACTACAGACCCCCGATAAGTCTTCTCCAGAATAGACAAATAACTAGGCAATTTGCTGTAGGAGTCAGCAGGATGACCTCTCAAAAACTGTAAAGCCTTTTCCTTTGCACTCCAAGCATACATGTAGGTTAGATTCACGCCGTGTTCAAACAACATGTCAGTTTGTATGTCTTTTGGTGTGTAAATTGTCTTAGGATCAAAATATTTTGGAATAACCATGCTACCAACTACCATGACAGTAGGTTTGCGTTGTATTAATGTATTGTCCATTAAGGTGCATGTGTGCTAGCGGTTGAAATTTCTTACCTTGAACATTGCAGAATCATTTATGCTAGTTGCCTTGAAGTGCCATGTACAGTTTTCACCAACACATAACAGCCAGTAGCTACAAAATAAATACAATTTAAACATCTCTTGTATTATAGTAGCCATTTCCCCACAACTACATCTCTTGTATTATAGTAGCCTTTGTTTTTTTTTCTTATCCTGTATTGTAGTTCAAATGGAAACATTCTGTTGGTTTTATATTCACTTGTTGAGTGTTTACAGTACTTGATCTTAATTATTTTAGCATATAAATCCTTTCCAACTGAATTTTTATATAGTTATTCTGTCAACACAAAAATATGTAGTTATTTTGTTGTTTTTCTGTAGATAAAGTGTAATAATCAGTAACTAAATATTTTTTTGCTTTTACATTCAATTTGTTGAATGTAAACAGTACCTGATCTACATTATTTTTAGCATATAACTTCTTTCTAGATGAATTATAATATAGTTATTATGTAAGCTCATGCTATTGTAGTTTTTTTGTTATTGAATTTGTAGATAATTTGTAGAAAATATTTAACAATGTGTTTTGTTGTTTTTATATTCATTTGTTGAATGTAAATGTCACGACCCCGGTTCGACCTCTATGAACCATCATGACGACACCTAGTCCTACGACTAGGTAAACCTAAATTGTGGAAGATAAACCAAGTTGCGGAAGTAAAACAATTTAAAACAGAATTTAAAATAATAAAACAATGTTTAAAAGTGCCGCTCGGCATACACAACATTTAACTCTCAGAAACCAATACATATCTCCATGATCCGGAAACCCATGAATCACTGTCACGACCCTAAACCCTGACCCGGTCGTGATGGCGCCTCTCGTGAAGACAAGGCCAACCAACTATTCCCAATTCGATGTTAAACAGTTAAACAACAGGAAAACAGTCTAAAACGTGATTTAATAATACTAAGTAGCAGATAATACCATAAATATGAGGAAGAAACAACCCAACACACCCTGATACCGGGGTGTCACTAGTCATGAGCATCTATAAATCCTACTACCAATCCGATAATTCTATATACTATTACAATTTTTTGATCAGAAATAGAAATGATAAAGAGGGAGAAACACGGGTCTGCGGACGTCAAGCAACTACCTCGTAAACTCTGAATGTCCGCCGGGAGCTCTTAACTCGCACTGGCAGGATCAGCAATGCCTGAATCTGTACAAAGGGGTACAGGGAGTAAAGTGAGTACTCTAACTTAGTGAGTAACAAGTGTAAATAAAGACTGAAAGCAAGAAATCACGTAAGGCACAAAACATTCTATAATGAAGCAGTAAAACCATTTAAAATCAGTAAATCAGTGAAAGATAGGTAAAACCCTTTAACTCAAATGTAGTTTCATGAAAAGCCTTTTTCAATAATTAAGTAGGTAATTGAGAGTCAATTATAAAAAGTAAACACATAAAGGCTCGCCCCTCGGGCACAGTATCAACAAATTCGTCCCTCGGGCAACATCTTAGAATAGTACCAACCCCTCAGGTAATCACATAAAACAATACCAGCCCCTCGGACTCAATCTCACATCACAATGGGTACCCGCACTCACTAGGGGTGTACAGACTCCTGGAGGGGCCCCTTACGGCCCAAGCGCAATATCAAGCCACCTTGTGGCATCATCACTAGGCCCTCGGCCTCATACAATCAAGCCACCTCGTGGCGTACATATCTCAGGCCCTCAGCCTCATAATCAGTATGAAATGTTTCCTCAAAACATAGGCCCTCGGCCTTACTCAGTCAAAATCCTCACAAGCCACTTGGGCAATAGTAAAACAGTGTTTCTCAGCCCAAACATCATTTAAAATATCATTTAAGTATTAAAACTGAATAAACTTGGCTGAGTATGAAAAACGTAGAAAATAACATGACTGAGTTCAAGTATAAAGTCAAAACAGTGAGGTAATACCAGTAAAATGCCCTGAAGGGTTCAAATAGTTGGCACGAAGCCCAAATATGGCATTCAATCCAATTAATGATGATAGCAAATATATTTCAGTCAAATATGCGGTAAAACCATTACTCGGGACGGACCAAGTCACAATCTCCAATTGTGCACGATCCCACGCTCGTCATCAAGCGTGTGCCTCACCTCACTATAACACTACGATGTGCAGTCTGGGGTTTCAAACCCTCAGAACATCATTTACAATCATTACTCACCTCGAACCGGTCAAATCTCTAGCTCGCGACGCCTTTACCCCTCGAATCGGCCTCCACTCGTGTCAAATCTATCCATAATCAGAACGAGGACGTCAAAATAGGATAAGGGAATGCAGCCCAAGCAAAAATAATCAAAATACTACACAAATCCCGCAATTACCAAAACCCGACCCCGGGCCCACGTCTCAGAATTTAATAATTTTTATATCAATAGGTTCCTTATCTCCTCACGAGTTCATACATATCAAAAGTTCTAAAATCCGACCATAAATGCTCCTTCAAATCCTCAATTAAAGGCCTAAGTTTCCAAGCCCTAGATTCCCCAATTTTCACCCTAAATTTCCATGATTTCTAGCTCTAATCCGTGTAATAATAGCATAGGAACGAGTTTTAGGTCCAAATTCCTTACCTCAATGAAGTTCCCTTGAAATCCCTCTTTCAAATCGTCCAAAAAGCTTCAAAGCCGAGATAAAAATGGTAAAATAGCTCAAATTTCGCGAAGGTCACAATTTATAATTTCTGCCTAGACATTTTTGCATTTGCGGCCCAATACCCACTTCTACGGTACCGCATTTGCGGTCAATCATCCGCTTCTGCGGTTCTTGACTTAAAAAGGCCCAATCCGCATTTGCGATCAACTCTCCGCACCTGCACCTTCGCAGGTGCGGTCACACTACCGCATCTGCGGTTCCTGACGATTCCTCCATAATCTGCTTCTGCGACTCCTCTTCCACACGTGCGGCGTCGCACCTGCGGTCCCCAATCTGCAGGTGCGGGAATACCAGAAGTAGTTGAGATTCTGCAACTTCACAAGTCTGAAACCTTTCCGTTAACCATCCGTAATCACCCCGAGGCCCCTTTGACCTCAACCAAAAGCACAAACATAACCTAATACCTTATTCAAACTTGTTCCAATCATCAAAACACCTCAAACAACATCAAATCATCCAAAACACATCGGATTCAAGCCAAACTTTCTAAAATCTTCCGAATTCTGCTTTTGATCAAAAATTCAACCGAACCACGTCCGAATGACCTAGAAATTTGCACACACATCCCAAATGACACAATAGAACTACTGAAACTCTCGGAATTCCATTCTGACCCATATATCAAAACCTCGCCTACCAACCGAAAATCGTCAAAATATCAACTTCGCCAATTCAAGCCTAAATCTACTCTGAACCTCCAAAACTCATTCCAATCACGCTCCTAAGTCACAAATCACATCCCAAAAACAGAACCCTCGGAACTCAAATCCGAGCCTCTAACACATAAGTCAACATCCGGTTGACTTTTCCAACTTAAACTCACTCTAAAGAGACTAAGTGTCTCAAACATTACCAAATCCTTTCTGAACTCGATTTGACCAACCCAATATCACAAAACACGGATAAACAAAGCATAAAAAATAGGGAAAACAGAGCGGTAACTCTTGAGATGATTCGGGTCGTCACAATCACAAGCTAAGGATCACTACATAGTACTCTAACTCCAGAATATCTAACAAGGAAAATAAATACAAAAGGAAAAATATTTAAAATCTAGAATAGAAAGGCACTCCTCGATCTGCGGATGCGGCAGATATACCTCGAAGTTGCTGAAGCAGTCACCTCGCCTCAAAGGTGATAGGACTAAGTCACAGTACCTGGATTTGCATATGAAAAACATGCGCAAAAGAGGCATGAGTAGACCACAACGGTACTCAGTAAGTGCC